TGATTTATATCCCACCCATCTGGTATATTCTACCACTCTGGGCGGCTACCAACAGACATATACTCATTAAAATACGAAACCATAACATTAAAGGAGTTGCAAAGCTATTTGTCAGACAGAACGTGCTTGATTGGTCACACTCTGATGGCATTTTTATTATCCAAATTTTATTTCTCTCCACCAGATTCTCCCTGGAAAGTGCACCTCTCCGACATTGATCCAAAGATGACCAGTATTACTGTGAGTGGCTTAACACCGGCCCGAACTTACCAGTTTCGAGTGTGTGCAGTTAACCAAGTGGGCAAGGGCCAGTACAGCACAGAAACAAGCAGGTACAGTTAAACAAAACCCCATGTGCTCTCTCACTATCAGTTAACCACACTTCTCTAGCTACAAGTTGATAAAACCAATGGGCCTCATTGCTTCATAAAAACAGCATTGTGCCGTCAAGTGGATTCTGACTTATGGCAAGCCTTCCCAGGGTTTCCTGCATAGAAAGTAGTGGTTTAACAATCCATCTTTGGGGGCATTCTAACACCATATAGCTTGACCAAAGCCACACGGCCTGACTTGGATTACAAACCACGCTCCATTATTACAGATGCTCCAACTCAACGAGCTATCCAGCCATCTCCAGTACTATGTATCATTAGCAAATGTTCATTTTCCTAGAAATTCCCTTCAAAAGCCATCAGAAACTGTGGCCAGCAATTTATATTTCATTATCAGAGTAGTTTGAGTGCAAGGAATTATTTTGTTGCAGTTTGTCTATGTGTGTGAGAAACAGAGAAAGAGAGAGAGATTATGGAGATTTGGAAGGGCCAATAAATATGTTGCATAAACACAAATTAAGAGATATACAGTACAGATCCATTCTGTTGATATTGGAAGCGTAAACCCAATGTTTTAAAAACATTGTAAACTAGCAATCAGATTTTTTGTTTTTACACAGAACATTATTGTTCTTGTATACAAGAATTTGTTTGAATGCAATTTGTTCTTAGTACAGTATGTGTATTATTTCAACTCTAGTACACAGTTGGGAATGTAAGGCATATCTATGTCAGAATGAGTGTGTGGTATGAGTGAGCATCTACAAAATTGTTTTCCCTCCATTTTTTGATCATCTGTTCAAATGGCTGTAAAATATCCTTCAGGTATTGATCTGCCCCTGTGTGGAATCCCTATGCATAGCTTCCTGGGGACTTGGCACCATATACGTAGGTCCTGGGATCTAGATAGTTGTTTGGAAGGCAAGGTGGGAAACATGGGCATCTTAATTTTCTGAGGTGCATGGAAAGAGCTGAAGGAAACAATTTGAATAGCATTACAGATTCTGGGCCAGTGTGTGGATTCACTGAGGCTTGCAGTTGTTTCAACAGAACGTGGCAAGCTGGAAGATTCAGATAGAATAAGCTTACCACAGCCGCTGTCTTCCCTCTTGCTTGTTTAACTGATTTTCTATTATGTTGATTTGTTACAACTATTTCAAGCATGTCTACAGTCGCTGGGCCATGTTTCTTTCTAGTTAGACCCCTGTAAACAAAAACTAGATTGCCTTTAAGTCAGGATGCAAGCAGAGGCCTCTTTACCATTTTCCTTCCTCTCTGCCTGCACCTAGGCTGATGTTACCAGAAGAGCCACCTAGTGCGCCACCTAAAAATATTGTGGCGAGTGGGCGGACGAATCAGTCCATTATGGTTCAGTGGCAACCTCCTCCTGAAAGTGAACATAATGGGGTTCTCCATGGCTACATCCTACGGTAAGTGGCTTTCGCCTACCCCTAAAAGTGTGAAATCTGGCACGAAGGCTAAGAACAGAGCTCCAGCATCACATGTTGTTCTTTACAAGTCTGCAGAAAGTATATTATTAAATGAACCACTTCTTGTTTCCTCCAATTTGCTATAATCAGACTCGTTCTGGAATTTCCCGTGAGCTTTTCTTGAAAGCAAGTTCCTGGATTCTTAAAATCTCTAAGGTATGGCAGTCTCTTTCTTCGCCTTGGATCTATACTGAGGCTGCAGAAGTGTTCTTGACCTGTGTGCAGCTTGATGGCACTCAAGGTAGCAGCTGGAGGGCTGGAATATAGGAAGCGGCCTTCTATGAGTCCAGCCACTCACTGGTTTTTCTAGCCCAGTATTGTCTACATTGTTTGACAGTTTTGCCCTCCAGATGTTCAGCCAGGATTCCTTCCTTGCCCTGCCTAACGAGTCCTGGTATTCTCCCATGGCTTTCCATCCAAGTACTGACCAGACTGGACCCTGCTTACCTTACCTTCTGAAAACAGGCACGACTGCAAGTGTTCAAGGAGCTAAGGTGAACAAAGAGAAGTGAATAGTTCTTGAAAAGACAACCAGGTCGCAATGCTACATTTTCAGGCTGGGTCTGGATGTACTCCAGGAAAAATCTGGCATGTTTCCTATTTTTAACGCAGCTGTTAATTTCTGGATAACTCTAAGAAGACCCCAGTGACATCAGCCATTACTACTGATCACTAAATTACTGCACAGTATATAAGCTCCACACCATATTCCACAGCCAGTATGGTGTAGGGATTGGATAAAATGTTGGATCTGAGATAGAATGGGCCATATTTTTGAATCTCTGTTCAGCTGCAAAGATCAGTGAGTGATTTTAAGCCAATCATTCTCTCTCAGCTTTAACCTACACCACTGTTGCTAACCTACCAACCTACTGCTGTTGGTAAACAAGAGGAAAAGAGACAGCACTGCACAGAGCTGCTTATTACTGTCATTACTAGGATAGATTTTTTTTCTTTAGAAAAATGTGTTGTTGATTGAATAGGAACAATATTAAAATGTTTTTGTGAAACTGAAAATGCTAGGCACTAATTAACTATTTTATTTCAAGTGTGGGAAGAATGAATGCGTTCACTGAGTCATGCAGTCTGCTGCAGTGTCACTCAAAACAGCATGCCCAAATATCATGAATACATAGTTAGAATGGTTCCTGATAACACACTGATGATGGAAATCAAAGCTTTTCCCAGTTTGACCACCAGTGTGTTTAGTGGCAGTGATATATAACAATTTATCTTAACCACTGTTTCAAGTTGTCAGGTAATAACCACAATGGGCACTTGTATGATTTAATAAATGCACTCAAACTGTTTTCACACTGAAGGTAAAAACAGTTCGAGAGAACATTACAAAGATCTAGCTAGCTTTTTCACTCTGTCTTAATTAAGCATGGATTTCTAATGAGCCAACTTGTGCCTGTCTTTTGAATGCTAGGAAATAGGGCATGCAAATAGCATGTGGCAATTCTGAGTTGCTTATCTGACAGTGCTGCCTCTTAATGACACAGAAAATGACTGTACCTTAAGTTCTGACAGTGTCATAGGTTGCTATACAGATAGACAGCATCAGGCAGCTACTCTGACAGTTTCCCACTTAGGCAGCACCAGACACCTGTAACACAAGGCAACTGTTCTGATGCCAGTTTTGTTAGAGTGTATACTCCCCTTGCGATGCTCACCAGGCAAGTTAGCTTCATGGCAAGCCAAGGAGCTATGTTAGGCCACTGTGAAATGTTACACCAGGCTGATGTGGTCAATGGGAGCATGCTCGGAACATAAAATAGACAGCATGCCTTGCCTCAGGATTAGATGGTTCCGAATTACTGTTATCCAAACAGAGTCGTTCTCTCTGCTGAGAGTGTCACCGGCTTTGTTTGTTTGCTCTTTGAAATTAAAACCTTACTCATGGTCACTCAAAGCCTGACCTTGAAAGACACATTGCAGATAAGCAAGGCCTGTTACTGAACCAAGCGTCGCTGATGAAGGAGCAGGCTCCCAAAGTCTGCTTTCATTTCAGCTGGAGCGGTAAGGCGGTGAGCTGCTTGTTGGTTTCTGGTGGCATCAACTGTCAGCAGCCGTTTTTCTTTTCCCAACTTTGCTCTTCACTGAAGCATGCAACTGAGAGTTGACACACAGTAGCTGCATATTTAAAGCAAGAGACGAGCAAGTATCTTGTGCCTGCCAGGCACAGATCTCATCAGACTCAGAAGTAGACCACCGCTCTGTTGTCCAACTGCCGCAACACCTGAAGCTGTACTGAACCTTCAGCTACAATCCTTGTCAAAGCACACCGTGGGGCGGGAGAAACACCGCAAAAGGACATGACATTTTCAAACTGGTCATCACCTGCTCCACTTCTTCCCTGCAGGGAGAGGTAGTATTTATAGGACCAGGATCTCACTAAGCCAACAGCACAGACGCACTAGAGCTCCCCACCCTTTGTGTGCTTTGAGTGAGACACACAGGGCAAAGAATAACATGGTGCACAGCACTCGCCGGTGCCTTCGGCCAAATCGTACCTTTGGTCCAACCCGTCCGGCATTGCCAAGACAGGAATGGTAGTAGCTCTCCAGGTTCTCGCATCCTCTGCTTTCTGGTCATTTTTATAAAAGAGGGAGAAGGAAAAGAGGGAGACCAAACTTGGTACCTTCAAGCATATGGTCAGAAAGGAGAACAGAGTGCGTCTGGGAGGTAGAAGGAAATGTTGAATTTTTGTCTAGACTTAGGACTTACGCTTTCAGGTCTTAGCGGACTAGTCATATTAGTCTGTGGTGTCTTGCAGCAAAACAAGTAAATAATTTTGTGGTGCCTTAAAGACTAGCAAGTTGTTTTTTTAAATTATTATTATTATCATCATCATCATCATTATTTGCGGGGGGTGCTGCTTTTGTGGATTGCAACCTCTTATTCTGTTGAAGGGGTCTCCATGCGTGTGAAGAAATGGGCTACAGTCCACGGAAGTTGATGCCAAATAAAACGTGCTAGTTTGTAAGATACCATCAGACTCTTTACTTGTTTTGTTTCTTCTATGGTTTTATTGTAATAAATACCCAACCCGTGTGTATTGTAAACTGACACATGCACCCTTTCAAATACCTAGTTCAACTTGAATAATCAAGTCAAATCAAAGTGTGCTGCTTTTCTTCTTAAAAGGACCCAAGGTGGCTTACATCATTAAAAAGACAATATTTAAAAGCTAAAAGCAGTAAGTATATAAATGTTGAAAAGAATTAAAAATTATAGAAAAACAGTAATTAAAATAAATACTACTAAAAAGACATTTCAAAGCAGCAGAGTATACCAGTCCATTCAAAACTGATATTACCCCTGAAGGTCTCGTAGCAATTGAGGTGCATTGGATCCACCAAATCTGCAGCCTCCCCGGGAATGCTTTCTGGGGCGAAGATGTTGGGAGCAGAGTGCTTGTCTGTTTTCACTGGCTTCCTTAAGTTCCACATGTACTAAACCAGGCATTCTCAATGTGGGTCATATGACTCCCTGGGGGAACCCAGGTACCTTTGAAGAGGGCCACAGACTGGAAGCAATTCTTCACACACCACCTTATAGGGCTTGTTACGCAAATTATACAATGCTGATTTGGCCAATATTTCTTTCAAATTCTGTTTATGGCTGTGGCAAACAAAAGTTTGAGAACAGCTGTACTAAGCCAACCATGGGGAGCTTTTTCTCCATGGAGATTCTGACGAATTCCGGGCTGGCAAAGGGGAAGATGCAGGGGAAGGACAGAATTCATTTTTCAAAAAGAACTTGTTTTGATAGCCAGTTGCATTTCGATAACTAATTTTTTTCAGCTCGCTGCAGTGATTGTCTGTCTTTTCTAGGTATCGCCTGGCAGGTCTCCCTGGAGAGTACCAGTACAAGAACATCACGAGTGCAGAGATTAACTACTGCTTGATAAAAGACCTGATCATCTGGACCCAATATGAAATCCAGGTGGCATCTTACAATGGAGCTGGCCTGGGATCTTTCAGCAGGGCTGTTACCGAATACACTTTGCAGGGAGGTGAGCTTTGGTCTGAATCCCTTCTAGCCTGTGATTTTGAAATAGTGTTGGCCGTTTGCAAGGGGGATATTTTCTGAATGCTCATGGGCTTACGCTGCCTCTGGCCAGACTGCAGAATTGGATGAAGTTAAATATGGGCAGGGAGGGAAATGGGCGATGATAATGGGCTGTTTTCTCACAAGTACATGAAGAATATAATCTGCGCCACTCGCAACTTACCATACCCTGCGTACCATGCCAAACAGTTGATGTTTGTTGCTTAAAGAACCACTGTGATATTTTCACGCAGCCTTTTGGTTTTACATTCATTCTATCTTGTTTGATCATTCCCCATTTGTACCTTCTATGTGACTGCCAATACATTCAGATACAAAGGCATACCAGCTATGATTGGTATAGAAACACAACAAGTTTTCAGAATTCTTCACGAAGAACAGTTTGGCTAATTAAAAATAATATGGAACACAAAACGTTGCACATTCGTACATAGGTGATCTTACTGGGAGGATTAAAAAGTGTTGGATTCACCCTAGAATAGGCCAAATGAATATTTAAAAAACTTAAATGACTACATTTCCACAGTTTTAATGGGCCTTACTCTAAGCAGACTATGCCTGAATCCAGAAGTAGCATTCTTCTATTTTAGTCTTAATTCCTTAGGTCAATAAGGAATGGTGTTTTAAATACATGGACTGTTTTAATTCACTAAAAATGTCTCTAATCAGGAAGCCGCATTATTGCACTAGAGACCAGAAGCTGTTATCTCTACCATCCACTTCCTGGGCCATTGTGTTGTTCACCATGTTTTTCACAATGACTTGTAGAAGCCACAGACGAACTGAGAGAAACACACACATACATACCGTTCCTCATGAATTTTAAAGCAGTAACCAAAATGCAAGGTGGCTGTACTAGGTCGAGGATGGAAGGGCTGAGGCCTAAGCAACAGTCAGAAGTGAGCTAAGGACTGAACCAGGAATTGGACCATGTCTGTGGTTAAACTTCAGAAGCACACAGAAACATGCCAGAGTTATGAGCTCAAACGATGGTAACAACATCACACAATATCAAACAAACTGCATTAGAGCAAATTGCTGAATGTGTTGTAGTTGGCTGTGGCTGGATAGCTGAAGTCTGTTTTTATCTTAGTGCTTCAGAATGGGCTCAAAAAAAGTTCAAGCCCGAATGGGAAATTTTGTTGAACCCTTGACAAGAAAGCCTTGGTGCTCAGAACCACTCTAAACCCTGAGGATGCCTGAAAAGTTCCACATTGCTGTTCTGATGGTGCACAGTACAGGGCGTGTGCGTGTTTAGTCATTTAGTCGTGTCCGACTCTTCGTGACCCCATGGACCAGAGCACGCCAGGCCCTCCTGTCTTCTACTGCCTCCCGGAGTTGTGTCAGGTTCATGTTGGTTGCTTCGCAGACACTGTCCAGCCATCTCATCCTCGGTCGTCCCCTTCTCCTCTTGCCATCACACCTTCCTAACATCAAGGTTTTTTCCAAGGACTCTTTTCTTCTCATGAGATGGCCAAAATACTGGAGCCTCAGCTTCAGGATCTGTCCTTCAAGTGAGCATTCAGGGTTGATTTCCTTTAGAACTGATAGGTTTGTTCTCCTTGCAGTCCAGGGGATTCTCAAGAGCCTCCTCCAGCACCACAATTCAAAGGCATCAATTCTTCGGCGGTCTGCTTTCTTTATGGTCCAGCTCTCACTTCCATACATCATGACAGGAAAAACCATAGCTTTGACTATTCGGACTTTTGTACAGGGGCAGGCACTAGTAAAGGGTCATTTCCTCTTGTTTTGTAATATTTTCATCTTTCAGATAAAATGGTTGCTAAAATCTAGCTTAGTGACTCCAAAGTTTGGTGTCCTTTTTGACCTCATTGCTCTAGGATACCTCCTAGACTTCATCTCTGAAAACCTCTTGCTACTTAAAATGAAGCTGTCACTCTTTCTGAGAATTCCCCCCAAATTGCAGGCCACTTCTGAATTTTGAGCAGTAAGCAGCGTCCTGGCCTTTGCTTTAGTGGGTTGTAAAATGCAAGACAGCTATTAAAATGTTCCATTTGGGATACAGTACATCAGTTACTTCATAATCAGTTACGGTTTTGCAATACTGACTGGGAATAAGTGAGCAATATTATTGCATGATAAAATTCAGTTTACCTTGAGAGAAGGCTTTTGTTTCTCTATTTTGGAAAGTGAGAGAAGAAACACAAGTGCCATGTGATGGATTAGTGAACTGCCGACTCTTCAAAGCACTTACCTAGGTACAAGATCAGCTTAAATTTAACTAGGGAGGAGTTGCTGTTGTACATGCAGAGTAAACAATATGAATGGATAAGATAGTGTTTGATGGTGGCTGACTGAGGGCATTTGCCTGCTGATGCCCCAAAGTACGGTATTTTGTTCTACAGTGGTCCAGCAGAGAATGTTAACCGGAAGGATATATAAATCAATGTTTGTCTCACCCTTGCAAACCAAGGAAGCGGAACCACAATATCATTCTCCTATCTCTGTAAGAGGGCAAAGTATAGTGTGGAGTTCAATAAGAGAAAAACAAACAAACATTGTTGCACAAATTAATCAAAATGGCACAAGTAATAGATTAGAAATACTGGTATGGAAGTCTCAGTCTCTCTCTCTCTCTCTCTCATTCATTCCCCATAATTAGCCATTCTGTGCTTGCTCTGTGTATCTGTGCTTTTCTTTTCAAAAGTAAGGGCACTAGTTTGGGGGGGGGGACAGGTTTTATTTTTCCATACAATTACAGAAATGATGTCAAGAAGAAAAACTAGCACTCTGTTGTGCTGTCTCCTACAGGCAGGGAATCCTTCAAATTCCTCATTGAGGTTTCTCATCCAGTTGAGACAAAAAATACTGTAGATGCATTTGGGAAAAATCTTTACTTACGCTGTTGACAGTGGCATACTACCATCATTAATGACAACTGCAACAATAGCAGTGATTCAGTACATCAGTTCTGCTTTGGATTTTCCTAGAGGCATCAGCTTGCCTATTGTAGGAAGTAAATGCATGGCTAAATGAATGTTTGTTCTGGCCTTGGCACAGATTTTTCTTATTTTCTTTATACCATATAGCAATGTAACATCTCTGGCCTGGTTTTGTACAGTGCATTGGAAGTACAGTACTGTAGGATACACAGGGCAAGCATATAGTGGATTTACTTATAGAATGATTCTTCTTAAAGTACACACAGAGAGACACACATATATAAACACTCTTACATAAACTCAGGATTGCCTACAATTAAAATAAAATAAAATATAGTGCTGCTGTTCTGAAGAGAGTCTTCCATAGATGGAGCCAAGAAGTTCTACTTCCCAGTTGCCAGAAAGCAGAAGGGCCTAAAGGTGAACCTCTGATGATGACTTCAATGATCAGCAGATCAATATGGTGGTTGGCAGTCAATCTATCAAGTAGCTGGCCCTCATGCCATGCTTTTGAGGTAAGCTCCAGCCCTTTGAATAGCGAATAGAGGGACAGCAGAGAGGTTTGAGCACTGATGAGATGTGAGGCCAACACCCATTTCCAGTCCATGGCTTAGAAGTTGTGCTCTGAGCTAACTGCAATTCACGAACCATTTTCAACACTCTGCAATATCCACCCTATTTTCCCCGTGTGCTGCATGAATAAGAAAGGAAAGATCAAAACTGAATACTTCTGCCTAATCCTAGGCTTAATCTCTTTAAAAGTAGGTGTGGAATTATATACAGTATTAAAATTCCTTGGAAATCAAAGCTTTCCAGATATTTGCCATGTTGCCTTAAATTAACGGAAATAAACAGAACGCTATTTCTTTCTGGTGTTCCATTAATTCTGGTTCTACATAGCCATTAGATAGTTTCCCCCAATGATGTATTTGGAATCCACTGGGAATGATTCATTAATCTATGGCCCCTGGAGCTGCCCTTGGTCACTGCTCCCCACCCACCCGCTTTTGATGCCGTCTTCTCTTTTTTTTTAAAGCAGGAAAGATCAGCCTACAAAAATTAAGACGTTTGCCTACTGTAATGTTCCTTTCCTGCTTTAATTTGAACCATATTCTTCCTCTGATCTTTAAGACGTGACATTCCCATCCTTTTGATGTTTCCTGTGGTCCCACCACCTAAACTGTTTCCTTCAGCATCTCAGACCTTTGGTTCCTTTTCCTTAACACCAGCCATGGGCTCCTCTGCAGGTTACCTAATATTGTGTGACGTTGTTATCATCTTTTATTGACCAGCTGGCTGTAGTCATTTATATAAATTCAGAGTTATAAGCTGAAAGTGGTCTATTCTGCATTAAAAGATTGACAGAGAAGGGTGTTTAAAATGCAAGGGAGTGCAAAGGACCCTTCAAGTTCCTGGGCAAGGATCTTTAACTGTTTGATAGATAGTTGTAGGCTGTAGATTAAAAGCTGGACATTTGTAGTCTGTTTTTATGTGAGTGCTTCTTAATGTGGATGGATGGCTCCAATATGGGCCTTACTGTGTGCTAATGAGGGCTTTATTGAATGGTCTATGATTAGGCTTTCTTCTCCAAAGCCTTCTCTATTTGATGTGGAAAGGGGCCAGCCGAGGAGCAAGTTGCTGGGACCTAGTCTCATTTGAGAGATTATTAATGCCCGCATCTCACAGTGAAATGATGGGCTTCCCTTTATTGCTTTGTAGTTGGAAACTGTCCAGGCCATTGCTGGTTGTGACCATTTTCCAGTTCCAGGTACAACAAACAATGCTGTAACTCAGGATGAGAGCATAAGAGACAGAATTTGGTAAGATTGGTGAAAGGCAAAGAAGCCACAAGGTACTGTGGATACATTGTGGAGTAGAAGCGTGGGGCAATTTCACCTTTCTGGCTTTCTTTTTGCATTGTCATACTGGTAATTAGAAGATGAGGAGATGCTTCTAGAGGCTCTTTTACTGCCTCTGTTCTCCATTGGACTGTTGTCATGCTGGAAAGGATTCCTATTGCCTGCTGTCAAATCCTTTTTAA